TAGGGCCTTCAGGGTTTAGGGTTTAGAGTCAACCCTAAACCCCAAAAACCTACTCAAAACCTAAAAACCCCTGACAGCCATCGGTGCGGAGGCACTGGCGGATGTTCGGGTTCTTGAATCTCATCCTGCTGAGGTGGGTTTAGGGTTTAGGGTTTAGGGTTTAGGGTTTAGGGTTTAGGGTCAAAACACGTCTCAAGGCTAAGAACTCCAGATCTCTGGGGCGCAGGGTCGTTTGGGGTTTAGAGGGTTAGGTTGGGGTTCAGGGTGCAAGGTTGGGGTTTATTAGGTTTGGGGATGCTTGGGGTTTAAGGCTTTAGGATGAGTTGGATTTGAGAGTTTCAGGGGCTGAAATGTTCTACAAAGGTCTGAACGCTACAGACCCGCAGGTCTTAACCATACTACAATTAAAGGAAACTACAGGTGGGGAGTTTAGGGTATATAGGGCTTCTATAAGGCTTATATAAGGTATATAGACCTTCTATAAGGCTCCTATAATAACGGTGACCACCCACCTGAAAATGCCCTAGATACAAAGAAGGCATTATCTGCCTATTTATGTCAACGGAAGCCACATACCCCAACTAACTTTCTACCTGATGGTATAAGTGCCTTTACTCGAAATTTGACAAAGCTGAGAACTTTTTATGTTGAGAACATAGGGTTTAGGGCTTAGGGTAGCTGCTGAGCGTAGTACCACAAGGCTTAGGTGTGGAGATACTCAGAACTTTGACTCATGTTGCAAGACCCACCAGTTAAGACACTGCAAAATCCTTGCATTACGGAATCTCCGATCAATCATAAAAGAATCCCACGAGGTTGGGCTTTTGGTACCTGACTAGAACAGTCCCCGCCTCTGCCCTAGTTGCTGGACAAATGTCTCTGCGGGAAACTTCGACAGCTGGTCCTGCGATTCCAATTCACGTGGGGCCCGGGGTTGAGGGATTTAGGAAGGGAGCTACTTAAAGTGTTGATTGCAGTTCGATATTGGGGATGGCCCATGTTTAGGATCCTATGATACGAAAACAGGATAGGCAAACAAGGCGCTACGGTTCAGGCGTGCACCAAGTACTGCCACCTACTGACCTACTGTTGTAGTATCGACCGTGGTAGGGTTTAGGGTTGAGGGTTCAGGGGGACCGCAGCCAATTAGAGGGTTGTCGTATACTGGGTCACTAGTCATGATCGGGCGTTAGTTCTCTATGCCCAGGCTGTAATACCCGATGGACGGGCATGAATAGATACTACTCTTGACGTTTCCAATCTATGTGTATGTAGATATGTATATATATATATATACATATGCGTATAGCAAATAGCACAATTGTTTACTTGTACACATACACATATACACATAAATAAATAAATAAACAAATAAACAAATAAATAAATATATATATATATACACATATCGACCAACATCTCATGAATTTATGTTTGGTGTTACGGAAACTATTAGGAGATAGCTGACCACAAGCAAAAAAGTTCAATAATTGATAAGCCCCGCGCATGTTAGTCATTCTTCAATAATTGCCGAATCACTGTTATAAGAGATGCTTAGTTATCATTAGTTTGCTTCGAAATTGATGTTCATGAAACGCTAATATTGTTTTGCGTTTGATGTTCATGAATTATTCGACCAATATCTCATGAGTATAAGCCTGAAGCATTTTTGGAAATATGGACATGTTTGGAAGATAGCTGACGACAAGTGAAGGACAATATCAGCAGTTGTTTGATAGCGATCATGTTGCTCGTTTTCCAATATCGAACCACCGTTACAAGAGATACTTAGCAATGGTCACTATCGTTTGGTGTTTGATATTCATGAGCTGTTGATGTTGCTTGGAATGTGATATGAACCGTTCCAGCAAAAAACTCATGATTTCACGCATACCTAGCACGGACGTTGTTTATATTCGAGCCATACTTAGAAGATAGCTCATAAGAAAACGGCAATATTAACTACCGATAGATACTGTGCATGTCAGTAAAATGCCCCCTCTTTTGAAAATTTAATGGTGCTTAAATGATACCTGGCCAGTCTGCGGCTACTGCGTAGTTCCAGTTAGTTAATGTTTCAATGATACTAAACCGAATATTTGCTTCCTGCTTTTTAGGTGTTTCATTTATGTGCGTCTTGTTCGCTGGTATTTTGTTTGGATCATGTAGTTGACATGTTATGACTTAGTATTTTGTAACGAACACTGTAATCGCAATCTATTGTTATGTCCTTAATAACAGGCACCTTGTCAGTAGCTAGCAGATTGAGTTGGGAACTAGCTAGCTACTATAGGCTCTCGTTGCATTTGCTACAATGTTAATTGAACACAATTTAATGGTTAGTTAAGCTCATGCAACTTTTCAGCACATGTTGTTTCAATGCATAGCTGGTCTTATAAAGTTAAAAAGTTGAATAACAAATAAATCAATAACAAATAATTTTTGCCGCTAGATAGTGGCTTGTCAGCGGATGGAAGGTGGGTATTTTACCATATTTCAGAAATATACCCTGCGCTGTCGTCCCAATTTCCTAACATTCCTGAATTAACCGCCAAGCCCCGAATATTTTTCCCCATACAACGTTGGATAATCCTTTCTCTGTATGCTCTCTAGAGCTTTACAGGGAGATGCTCCTGAAACTGTACGCGCCGTAGAGTGTACTCAGAGTCGAGATAGCTGGATATTAAAAATGCAAAAGCTGAATAACAAGCAAGTCTGTTGGTAATAACACACTCCACATGAAAACCGACGGCTTTTTGACACATAGCATAAACACATACCATCACATCAATGATATCTATCCAGCATATAGGTTTTGTTGGAAAATCACAAGAGGAAAGGGGTTCAGTTTGTCTGCTACAGTGTCTTCTTCACGTGTACAAACAAAGTCATACCCCCACCTCCGAGCTGAAGTTCGCGTCCTTGGTGTGAGCTTGTGAGGAGCACCCGCAGGCGCTCCGTCTATGAAATTTATGTTCAAGGCCTCAGGAATGAAACATAGATTTATACAAACGGTACGAATAGCTGAGACACTGGCAAATCCCAAAATCCAAAGATTTTCAGACAATGGTTGGGCCCGCAACTTTCTTTTGGATGCTTTGGATTTCCATCGTCGTAAATTGTTTTTTGGTAGAAACTAGGAAATATTCGAATTTTGCTGGTATCGCTGGTCAAAAACATTACGTTGCCGAGGGTTTCTTTGGATTTTGTAATGAAATCCAAACATTCCCTGAGCAAAAAATTGAAGTCTGCTGGTGTCGCCGGTCGAAATCACTGTATTCCCTAGGTTTTGTTTGGATGTCATGACACAAACCATAGAAACCCCAGAGAATATAATGATTTTGACCAGCAACACCAGCAAAATCCAAATATGTCCTAGGGTTTTTGTTTCTACCCCAAAAATCAAGTAAAGACAATGAAAATCCAAAACATCAAGAAAGTTGCGAATCCAAAGATTCTGTCAAAATCTTTGGATGTTTGGAGTATTGGATTTCTGTAACAATTGATCATTTCTTTTGGCGGTCCGTCATGAGCTTCAAATATAAACACAATTCAGTCGAATCTCGTGACACAGTCTTGTGTGCACACAGTGTTGTTTTGCGGCTGAGACTTGTTGGAAGTTTGCCTCGTTATGCTCCGAACCACCGATTTTGTGACACAGTTTAGGGTGGATTTGTGAGTTTCTGAAAACAGCAAAGTCATCGGTATTTACGGTGGTTTCAATGTGTTTTACATACCCAGGAAAGACGGAGGTAGATCATGGGGGGGGGCTGACC